AGACAGACATACTGATACAGATAGTCATACTAACACACACATGCATACTGACACACAAAGACATACTGACACAGACATACTGACACACATACACAGACATACTGACACACACACAGACTGACACAGTCACATAGAGACATACAGGCAGAGATATACACACATACAGAGACATACATACATACACATACCATCATACAGACACATACATACAGGCATACAGAGACATACAGACATACAGAAACATACATACAAAGACATACAGGCATACAGACGCATACATACAGACAGACATACACATACATACAGAGACATACAGACGCATACAGAAACATAAAGGCATACAGAGGCATACAGGTATACAAAGACATACAGACATACAGAAACATACATACAGACACATACATACAGAGACAGGCATACAGAATTGTACATACAGAGACATACAGGCATACAGAGACATATATACATACAGAGGCATACCGTCATACAGACACATACATACATACATACATACAGGCATACAGAAACATGCATACAAAGACATACATACATACGTACATAAAGGCATACCGTTACATGCATGCATACAGAGACATACATAGATACATGCATGCATACAGAGACATACATACATACAGAGGCATGCATACACATACTTACAGAGTCATACAGGCATACATAGAGATACATACATACATACATACATACATACAGAGGCATACCGTCATACAGAAACCTACATACAGGCATACAGAAACATGCATACAAAGACATACATACATATGTACATACCGTTGCACGCATGCATACAGAGACATACATGCATGCATACACATACTGTCATACAGACACACACACATATATATATATATATATATATATATATATATATATAATATAAATATATATATATATATACAGGCATACAGAGGCATGCATGCATACAGAGGCATACCGTGATACAGAAACATACATGCACATACATACAGAGACATACAGGCATACATAAACGTACATACAGAGACATATATACATACAGAGGCATACCGTCATACAGAGACATATATACATACAGAGGCATACCGTCATACAGAGACATACATACATACATACATACAGGCATACAGAAACATGCATACAAAGACATACATGCATACAGTTACATGCATGCATGCATACAGAGACATACATACATGCATGCATACAGAGACATGCATGCATGCAGAGAAATACATACTGTCATACAGACACATATATATATACTTTGTTTATATATACAGGCATACAGAGATATACAGGCATACAGAAACATACATACAGGCATACAGAGGCAAACCGTCATACAGACACATACATACACAGAGACACATACATACAGGCATACAGAGACATGCATGCATACAGAGGTATACCATGATACAGACACATACATACAGAGACATACATAAACATACATACAGAGACATACAGGCATACAGAGACATACATACATACAGAGGCATACCATCATACAGAAACATACATACATACAGGCATACAAAGACATACATATGTACATACTGTTGCATGCATACAGAGACATGCATACAGAGACATACATACATGCATACAGAGACTTACATACATGCATACAGAGACATTCATGCATTCACACAATTACATACTTACAAATGTTCAGTCTGGTCCCTGGGGTGCATGCTGTCCGGCAGTGTGGAGACCTGTCTTACAGCCCAGCCTCATCACTGGGCGCCAGCCGCGCTGTGTGATACACAGGGAGCAGGGATATGATGTCATTCATATAACCCGCGCCCTTCACACAGCCTGCAGCAGATACCAGGCTAAGAGGCTTGGCTCTGCGGGTGGAAAGCTCAGGGCTGCACTCTGCCATGCTACAAGAAGTAACTGGCTGTAGGGGAGAGCCGGTCAGCCTGACCTGAAAATCAGTGCTTTTCTAATCAGTTTTTCCTGTCTACACCTATTGAAGTCCAACAGTTTCATATCAGAGATATTGATTTAATTAAATGCAGACACTGTAATATTCATAATTTCTCACAAATAGCCCCATTAAGGAATCTTAAATAATTTGCCGAATTGCAAATTCAATTTGGATATTTAGAACAAGAATTCTATAACTATATCAGAATTAACCCCTTAAGGACACATGACGGAAATATTCCGTCATGTTTCCCTTTTATTCCAGAAGTTGTGTCCTTAAGGGGTTAAACATTTGATTACTTCCCTAGAGATGAAGGAATACCCTGACTTTGAAAATCTTATTAATAAACATTTCCAAAACAAACACATTTTTAGAACTACCCAATTATTAAAATGTTTTGAGGATACAGATAAACGTCAATCATTAAGTAAATGGGAAGAAGAATTAAATAAAGCTTTTCCAGTAGATGAATGGTGGTAGGCTTTTATACAAGTCAGAAAAATCACCCTTAGCCTACATGAAACCTTTTTCAAAATTATTCACAGATAATATCATACTCCTTACAGAATCAATTAGGCATGTGCATGGGGAAAATGTTCGGCATTCCGAAATTCGGGAATTCGTCATTTCGGGACTTCACTTGCCGCCACTTGGTAGATAACTCCCTAATTCCCATGGTAGACCAATTTAGGTCTTTCAGCCTTTTAGTAGATAGCTGCCTAATACCGTAGGAATTACTGAGTTATCTACTTATTCATTCCTGTCATTACATGACTGGCCAAGTAACTTACATTTTATATAAATGTGTGTTACTTGATTGTTGTAAGTGTTGCAAATGCTTACAGCTGAATTCTGGCTATGTTTGTATACTTTTTATTTAAAATTGTATACAATGTAACATTCTTCTTCTTACTGGGTAAGTATATTAGTACTTAGGCAATACTGTACTTAGGCACTTCAGCAATTTGGCACTTCGGCACTACTACATTTCGGAAATTTGGTAATTTCGGCACTTTGGCAATTCAGCTATTCGGACATTCAGAAGCACCGAATGTCCGAATTACCTGAAATTCGGGCAAATTTTAATTCGGACCGAAACTAATTGCACATGTCTAGAATCAATAAATCCAAACATAATTACTCGCATCTCTGCTGGAGATGTTAAGTTTCGGTAGGAACACTATACCATATGTGGTGTGTATGTAATGGCTTGGCAGAGATTTCAAAAAAATATTATCAGAATTTTTCAAATTTTACATATACAAGAAGAACTATCTCCTCAAATTATTATCTTGACTTGCCTATTTGCAGCTTTGAACAAAAAGCATTTTTAATACATATATTTATGGCTATAAAACTTATATTAGCCAGAAACTGGAAGATATCCTCAGAGTCTAAGTGGCCAGAAATAACCAGTCAGATAGAATACCAGGGCAAAATGGAAAAGGGGATTTATCGAAATGCTGACGAGATTTCCATGCACATCATCCATATGGTCAAACTAGAACAAAATCTCTATTTTAAATACAGTTGATTTTGCCTAAATACTGAATACATATAAATTAATCCGCCCAATTGGAACACGAGAACGAAATATAGAAGGGGTTTTATAGAACTACGGGAAACCCATTTTCCGGTTTAGGATATATCCTCAAACTGTATTCGAATTGTTAAAATGTATATTGCTTCCGAGGGTTAAGTCTGAACATTATACTAGAGCATATCCCCCTGTTCATTTCCCGACCTGCCATACTTTATTATTTTAATAGCTATTTCGGTTTTCATGTTTCCATGACCTGTTTTGACTTATTTGTACGTTCATTATGTATGTGAAGAATGAATGTTGGTACACACTATATACATTAGGCTTATACAAATCTAAATAATAACAAGAACTTAATCAGCTAAATGTATAATAGTTTTAGTCTATTGTCGCACTTTCTAAATGTTTGCCATATAGTATATCCATGCAAAAAATAAATGTTTAAATAAAGATAGTTTTTTGTTATTTTTTATAACAAATAAATCAGAAGACCAAAACAGTAAAGAAAAGAAAAGTCAAACTGAAACAAATGATGATAAGGGTATTATTGGCCGTTAAGAAATGAGAACCAATTTCTCTAACAATTTGGCTTAACACCTATCTGAAGTTTCAAAATATAACAATAATAAATTTTTAAAAAAATAAATAAAATCAGTTCTTTTCACACCGGAATCTTATACAAAGTATAGGATTCGGATTATGTACAAAGCACTGATTTTAAACAGAATTGTATTCGCAAATCGATCACTCGATTCTTCCAGGCAAACGATAACTTGAAGTACTATTTGATGCTGGTGGGAAGACATTAGATTAACCCTCTCCCCTCATGTATTCTAAAATATTATAAAAAAATATATTTTTAAAATGTTTTTATTTAATGACCTCACCTGCTGACCAGGGAGGGGCAGATGGAGAACAGTGATCTGTCCACCCTCCCCCACCCCTCATTGTATCATTTAAAGACCCCACACAATGCCATGGGGTAGGGTCAAGGGGGGACAAGGGATGGGGCCTTAATAGTTACTGGGCAACAATGAAGTATTTGAAATCTTAGTAGACGGCACTGATAGGAGAGTCTCATCTTTTATGAAACTTACCATGGAAATATAGTGCTGTTCGCGGGCAAATAGTTTAGATTTTTAAATTCCAGGCCCAGATTTGAAGTTTTCGGGTCTGAATTTCAACTGTCCTGTAGTATTCGGTCTGGCTACAAATCCAGACATTGTTAAATAGTGTGAGCAATGTACAGATTTAGCAGTCTGAATGGCCCATTCACAGCCAGATGGCTTTTCATTCATACTTTAGTAAATCAACTTGTGTAAATACAGGGATGTATTTGTGTGGAGTGTCCGTATGTTTGAATAAAATTGTGTATTTGTGTGGCATGTCAGTTTGTCGAATTAAAGGAAGTATTTGTTAGGAGTTTCTGTATTGCCAAGTAAAAGGGTGTATTTGTGTAATGTCAAGGACTGTTTGAATTCAGGGGTTTCTGTGTGTAAAAGTCTCGTGAATATTTCTTCAAATTGTTAAAGGGACACTATAGTCACCTGAACAACTTTAGCTTAATGAAGCAGTTTTGGTGTATAGAACATGCCCCTGCAGCCTCACTGCTCAATCCTCTGCCATTTAGGAGTTAAATCCCTTTGTTTATGAACCCTAGTCACACCTCCCTGCATGTGACTTGCACAGCCTTCCATAAACACTTCCTGTAAAGAGAGCCCTATTTAGGCTTTCTTTATTGCAAGTTCTGTTTAATTAAGATTTTCTTATCCCCTGCTATGTTAATAGCTTGCTAGACCCTGCAAGAGCCTCCTGTATGTGATTAAAGTTCAATTTAGAGATTGAGATACAATTATTTAAGGTAAATTACATCTGTTTGAAAGTGAAACCAGTTTTTTGTTTTTTTCATGCAGGCTCTGTCAATCATAGCCAGGGGAGGTGTGGCTAGGGCTGCTTAAACAGTAACAAAGTGATTTAACTCCTAAATGACAGTGAATTGAGCAGTGAAATTGCAGGGGAATGATCTATACACTAAAACTGCTTTATTTAGCTAAAGTAATTTAGGTGACTATAGTGTTCCTTTAAAGGACCACTATAGGAATTCAGACCACTTCAGCTCAATGAAGTGGTCTGGGTGCCAGGTCCCTCTAGTTTTAACCCTGCAGCTGAAAACAATGCAGTTTCAGAGAAACTGCTATGTTTACACTGAGGGTTAATCCAGCCTCTAGTGGCTGTCTCACTGACAGACACTAGAGGCCACTTCCGCGATTCTCACTGTGAAGTTTAAGGTTTCAATACCTGGGTTACTGAGCAGAATCTTACTTTTAATACAATGGCAGGTTTTTTGTCGAACAAGTTAGATAGTAATGTTTGGTGTAGAGATGCTGACAGTGTCATCTCATTTGTACCAACTCTACCCTTCGATAAGTTCATGTGGATCAAGGATCTGCACCTTTTTGTGCGAAAACTTGCTCTACATAAATTTGAGTAATGCTTTCCTTTGGGCGGTTTGAATGAGCACGCGCATTTGGCGCTGACGTTAGCAGGAGGAGGAGAGGTCACCAGTGCCAAGGGAGCCCAGCGCTGTAGAAAGGTAAGTGGCTGAAGGGGTTTTAACCCCTTCAGCCCAGCGGAAGTCGGGCCCTGAGGGTGGGGAGGACCTAAGGACTACATAGTGCCAAGAAAACGAGTTTATTTTCCTGGCACTATAGTGGTCCTTTAATATTACTAGTGTTACAGGTTATGCACTAAGTGAGAATTCAAGGAGAATTTAAAATTTAAGGTCAGAGTAGCTGAATGGAAAGGATAGTTTATTTAGTGGTGTTTTTTCAGTTCAGCTATTTTATCTTTTAAATTTAAATTCACATTAAGTTCATCTTAGAGTCTCACTTTAGTGAATAACCCTGATATATAATATCTATTAAAATTTCCATTCACCCACTAGCCATTGTTGAGTAAAAATTTGAATAACGTTAAATAACGTTTAGGCCTGTCTAGTAGCATAGTAAATTACATTTTAAGCCTTGTGTGTATATTATACATACATACAGCTGCACATTGTTCTGGCTACGTTTAATTGTACTGTTTTCTTCTTGATCAGGTACATGGGAAGTGTGTTTGCCAACACAACACAGCAGGAGACCATTGTGAAAGGTGTGCCCCACTATACAATGATCACCCATGGAGGCCTGGCGATGGCAAGACTGGGGCACCAAATGCATGCAGACGTAAGTATGGGTAAAGATTTCATAATACTTGCCAACACAATTGACCATGCCTAGGATTATGTCTGGTACAGATAAAATGTGAGGAATGGAATACCAGAATTCCACCAAATAAAATGTGCAAGGCTCTGATCCATGAAATCCTTAACGATAAATTACATTCTTTGTAAATATCACAGTCTAGCACCTCATGCACCAGCAAATAATGTCTTGATTATTGAGTATCTGCAGCTTGGTATAACATTCTGGACTTATTGGCCCCTTTTCTCTGGTGTTCCACTACTGAGGATGCCCATGAGAGTGGGACTAGGGCCCAAATTTGTGTTGCCCCTGCTGAATCTGGCAGGTATGTTGAAGTAAGAGACTGCTAGTAATGCATAGACAGTTGTTGATCTTTAAGGGAGTTAACACAAGTCTCTGAGGCTTGTGAGATATCAGAATTTGTTTAACCCTAACATCTCGTTATATATACCAGGTTTACAATGTGTACTGCAATATGTAAGTTCAGACTGAAGAGCAGGTGCAGCCGGTAGGACATTGACTCTGTATTTTGATTTCCTCTCGTTGGTTGCACAATGTTCTGATTTAGAACATGGATATACAGAGTAAGACTCACTTTGTGTATTGCATTCCACAATTAGGGTGTCGTTGCCATAACCACGCTTCCAGCTGCCGTTTCGACCTGGATGTCTGGCTGTCCTCCGGTAGGAGAACCGGAGGAGTTTGTGAGAACTGTCAACACAACACTGAGGGGTACCGCTGCCAGAGATGCAAGTCTGGGTACTATAGAGACCTCACAGAGCCCCTCAGCTCCCCCGTAGCCTGCAAAGGTAAGTACAGACTGTGATACACTTGTGGACACAACAAATTACTGTGTGTGTGTGTGTTTTTGTTTTGCTGTGAAGTTCTGTGATACACTCACACACTACACTTTACTGTAAGCTGTTCCACTATGGAGCTCTGTGAAGTGTCAAGATTCACACAGTTTCTCTTGGGAGCCTTTTCTTGAAACCACCTCTGTCACCTACATCGCCGCTTGGTGTGTGGAAGCTAAGGGCGTAGGTAAGTCTTTTCTTACCTGGACTTGTGCCCCGCGGCCACCGCCATCTTGATCTGGTACATCTTCTTCAGCTCCTGGTTCATTATCTTCCAGGAGCCGATGTCACTGCTGTACTCAAGCGCTACAGTGCTTGACATTCGTAGCTCCACCTTATTGTCAAGTTTTGTCAAATATTTTGTCTTATGGTATCTTTTTATTGCATTAGAATCAGTGAAATTCCAGTGAAGTCTTTATGAGTATTTCAGAAACATTTTATCTGTATTAAATATCCATTTTCTGGGGGGTTGGGGTGACAGAGCTGGTTAAATAAAAAAATAATCAGTGTAAAGGAAAAAGAAAATGTGCGTACTATCAATCAATCTGGATCTGTTGTTATTGTGTGAGTGGCTGTCAATCTGCTATAACCATGCTGTACAGGTATACAAAACTTTAATGCAATACCCTGCCACATAACAATTTCTTTTCAAGTTCCATGAAATGACGTTGTTATGGTATCCGGAGATTTCTGGTACTGGCTCACCTTCACAAACGTTTTAACCCCCAAGTCTGTGTATTTACCTTTTTATAAATGGGGAGCTGCTGATTGGCTTAGAGTGTCAGCACCCATGACCGTTGCTGTCCGAGATTTCCGTTCTAGGATTTCAGATAGTGGAAGGACAGGGGGCAGAGTGATCATGCGCTGTAACACAGACCTTGGGGTTAAAACATACACAAACTAAATCAAATACATGCTTTATGATGCCACAATGCACACACTATATATGCCTTGACACTATACATATATATGTATTATTATATACATGCTTTGAAACGAACACTATATCAACACAAATATACACTGCATTGATCCAGGTGTCACACATACAAATATACACACAAATAAATATGCATATTTACAGACGTTGCACACACATATACACCCATGCGCTGGCAATGTAATTTTCCTAGATCTGTGGGCATTTTCTTTCATGATGATATTTTGCTCTTTGTGCAATGCTGAACAAAAAACATACTTATTCTAGATTTAACACCGCTCCAAATTATCCCTGAAATGTTAAATTTCCACTGTTGGCAGCTGTGGTTTAGCTTAAACTATTTTGGTCAATTTCAC